TACAAATGACAACAAATGAAAATCTCAAATTCATCATATCAGAAAATTAGAATATTACTGAAGACCAATAAAAACAAAGGATTTATAGAAATGTTGGCCAACTGAAAAGTATGAACATGAAAAGTATGAGCATGTACAGCACTCAGTATTTAGTTGGGCCTCCTTTGGCCTGTATTACTGCAGCAATGCGGCGTGGCATGGAGTCGATCAGTCTGTGGCACTGCTCAGGTGTTATGATAGCCCAGGTTGCTCTAATAGTGGCTTTTAGCTCTTCTGAATTGTTGGGTCTGGTGTATTGCATCTTCTTCTTCACAATACCCCATAGATTTTCTATGGGGTTAAGGTCAGGAGAGTTTGCTGGCCAATTAAGAACAGGGATACCATGGTCCTTCAACCAGGTACTGGTAGCTTTGGCACTGTGTGCAGGTGCCAAGTCCTGTTGGAAAATGAAATCTGCATCTCCAAAAAGTTGGTCAGCTGCAGGAAGCATGAAGTGCTCTAAAACTTCCTGGTATGTGGCTGCGTTGACCCTGGACCTCAGAAAACACAATGGACCAACACCAGCAGATGACATGGCACCCCAAACCATCACTGACTGTGGAAACTTTACACTGGACTTCAAGCAACGTGGATGAAGTGCCTCTCTTCTTTTCCTCCAGACTCTGGGACCTTGATTTCCAAAGGAAATGCAAAATTTACTTTCATCAGAGAACATGACTTTGGACCACTCACCAGCAGTCCAGTCCTGTTTCTCTTTAGCCCAGGCAAGACGCTTCTGACGCTGTCTGTGGTTCAAGATTGGCTTGACACAAGGAATGCGACAGCAGAAACCCATGTCTTTCATACGTCTGTGTGTGGTGGTTCTTGAAGCACTCACTCCAGCTGCAGTCCACTCTTTGTGAATCTCCCCCACATTTTTGAATGGGTTTTGTTTCACAATCCTCTCCAGGGTGCGGTTATCTCTCTTGCTTGTACACTTTTTTCGACCACATCTTTTCCTTCCCTTCGCCTCTCTATTAATGTGCTTGGACACTGAGCTCTGTGAACAGCCAGCCTCTTTAGCGATGACCTTTTGTGTCTTGCCCTCCTTGTGCAAGGTGTCGATGGTCGTCTTTTGGACAACTGTCAAGTCAGCAGTCTTCCCCATGATTGTGTAGCCTATAGAACTAGACTGAAAGACCATTTAAAGGCTTTTGCAGGTGGTTTGAGTTAATAAGCTGATTAGAGTGTGGCACCAGGGGCCATCAATTTTGAACCTTTTCACAATATTCTAATTTTCTGATATGATGAATTTGAGATTTTCATTTGTTGTCATTTGTAATCATCAAAATTAAACAAAATAAACATCTGAAATATATGAGTTTGTATGTAATGTATGAATATAATATACAAGTTTCACTTTTTAAATGGAATTACTGAAATCAATCTACTTTTTCATGATATTCTAATTTTATGACCAGCACCTGTAATTGACAGAGTGCTGCAGGTAGATGTAAACGCTAATGACTGACTGGAGGTTCTAACAGCAAATTTCTGAGTTTTCTTCTAAAACAGAAAATATCCCAAGAGTTCAAATGAGGCGTTCCAAACTTTCAGTGAGCAACTGAAGTTTTGTTTGGACAGAGGTTAGAGCTGCGTTAGTCTTCTAGTCATGAGAAGATGGTTCAAAGTTCCTTTTGTTACTGTGCCTACAAATAAACCTTCACGCACATCCTGTGACTGCAGAGCAAGCTCTGCACTGGTGGTTCATTCTTTAGTGAGTGGTAGTCTTAGAGCTGTAGGTGCCTACTGTAGATGGGCTGAACCTCTTCCACAAATTGCTCAGTTTACAAAAATACTCATGAAATTCGACGGATACCAGTGACGCATAGATGTCCTTCCAGCACGTCCAGGGCCATCCTTTCAGTGGGGAGTGTTTAGAGCTCCGTTTGAAAAAGATGCCAGAGCGACCACCTCAGCTGGCTCCACTGGTTGATGGCCGAGTTCCTCATCCTAGCCTTTTGCACTAAGGGTGTTTCCAACAACCTTGCAGAAGCTCACTTATATCCATGATTTCGCTTTTTTGTTCAAGACCAAGATTTTTTTGATCATAGGTGACGTTAAGTGTCTCACTTACCTGCTCTATTCAAGGAAAAAAATGCGCTTGTTTAAAAGAAAAAAAAAGACTAATTGCTCCAACCTCCTCCCACAGTCCAATCACCATTATATGTGTGCATACATGGTTATATGTTTCTATTATCCTGCGACAGACCATCAACCTGTCCAGGTTGTACCCTGCCTTTTATCGACAGACTACTGGAGATAGGCACTGGTGACCCTGATCGATAAGAGGGAGAAAAATTGATTAAGCAGGAGAAAATGGATGGAGGTTAGGGCCCAACTCTCTCTTCAAAACAGACCGGTCGTGTAGAGACAAGGACATGTATGCAATACAGCAGCAGCTGTATTGATCTCTCTGTTGTTCTGTCCTCACCCATAAACAAGACCTTGAGACAGTTGAACTCCTCCATTGAAGGTAGGAACTTCCCTCAGTCCTGAAGAGGGCAAGCAGCACTTTTCGGGTTGAAAACTATGGATTATGAGAGATGTTTCTTTTTAAATCCTTAGTGAACTTTTTTTTTTTAAGCCAAAACTGCAGATCCTCAATTGTTTAAATCAAACCTTTAGCCCTTAAAGTTTTTAAACTTTCTCCGAGCTGCAGATATCAGCTACACGTGATTGAGAAACATGGAAAACAACTTTTAGACCTCAATCTTAAAAAAAGATTTGTTTGTTCAACGGGATTTGGAGATTTACTACACTACAAATCTTCTAAGCCCTTTTTGAGATGGTTTAAATGTAAAACAAAAGTATCTCATGACTGACATTTCTTCGATGGGAGCGCTTTGAATGTGGAACCTGCAAACACAATGAATGGATATAAGAACAGATGAAGGGAAAGCATTGCTAGTGACATGTATAGATTGCAAAACAAAGTAAAGGCAGGACACGTGGACTGGTAGATTGTTGAAATCTGAGATGGATAAAAAATATATTTAATCAGGTGGATGTTTTGATTATTAACCAATGACGGATTCCACAAAAGTAAGAAAACAATCCACTGGACTTTGTTTGCAAGTTTGAAGAAGTTTCGCTTCCCATTGAGGAAGCTTTTTCAATTCCTGGATGGGAAGCAAAACGTCTTCAAACTTGGAAAACAAAGTCCAGTGGATTGTTTTTTTTTAAACTTTTTTTGGAATGACTATGATCTGGATGACTGAGAATCTTCAACAGCAGTCAGTAAAGTAGCAAACAGACAAACAGAAAGATGAGGACTGGATAATAAAGTACATCCTGAAACAGGAAGGAATGAGAAACAAAAAACAAAACATTGTGAATTTTCACACAGCATGAATGTCAGAATAGAAAATTATATAATAAAAGTAGAGCTGGAACTAAGGATTATTTTGCAAAGCGATTAACCGATTAATCAGCTACCCAAAGGTTCATTTTTTTTTTTTTACAAAAATAACTAGGTGAAACAAGAACTTTTCCACTACAGGAGTTCTGGATAGAGCATATTGACAGATGAGAGCTTTTTTTTTTTTTCCGATCTTAAATGCAGAATGTTTATAGATTTAAAAAAATAATAATTTTCATATAATTACTGCTCTAAGTGGGTTGCTTTGTCAGCTAAAGGCATATATTAGAGTCTGTCTACTAACAATTAATCGATTACCAAATTAGTTGACGATTATTTCAATAATCGATTATTATAATTGTTTCAGCCCTAATAAAAGCAGGATGATTTTCATTCAGAATACGAGCCCAGATTTCATTTAGTGAAAAAAAAAATATGTAAAGCTTAAATATCATGTTTATGTTAAAAAGGAAACACTTTATCCTACAGTTTGTGATTTTATTTACTGCATTAATACAAATATATCTTTTATGAACACTTGAGCAGAAAATGTGTGTGAAATGCTAAATATCTAGCTTTATGATCAATAAAATAAAGACATTTTTGTTTCTAATCAGTTCACAAACTCATTTATTGCAGCGCATTTAATGACAGACATTCATTTCATTTCCACAGGATGATAAGAGAGCACTTTCATCTATTAGATCATTTTTTTTTTTAAAGTCTTCTTTGTACAACTGAGGAAATCTAATTTACAAAGTCAGTACAGGATGGACTCCCTTAGGACACAATTAAAGGGAACAGGATGCTGTTAGTTATAAAAAGTCTACATTACTAAACCGTCCGCCGTCTGAATGTGAATAATACAAAAATAAATAATTGAGATTTCTTTTTGTTTGCTCTATAAAGTGGCTTAATTTTAGTCCCACTGGTTTAAGTTCAGATTTTATTCTATGCAGTGCAAACGGAATATTTTACATTATTTCATCTGTACAAGTCCTGCTCCCAACTTCGGCTTAAAAATAGTTCAATCTGAGGCCCGTTTCACCAACAGGTCGTCACAGCAACAACATGATTTTCCTCATGCTTCAGCATTTAGTGGAATGTCACCTCAAAATGTTCTGTCAGAGTATCAGCAGTAATTTGCCAGTTCTGGTTTCTGCAGCGAATTCGTTAAATGAACTGGACTAACTTTAAAATGACGTCCAGTCTGTGTGGAATACAAGCTTCATAACTCTGCAAGTTTTCTCCTATTTTGTGACCATCAAACAAAAAGTGGTGCATATATGTGAAATTGAAGGAAGATGATGTATATAATAAAAGACGTATTACGACTTAAACCTGAAAAGTGTGGCATTCATTTGTATTCAGCTCTATTTCCCCAATAAACCCTAAATCTGCCAAGTAGAAAGTATTAGAAAATGCTAATATTGGCAAAAAAAAAACCCATTCCATTCTAAATGCATCATTCCTACAGTGCAGCACAGTGGTGGCTGCATTATGTTGTGGGGAGGCTCTTGTTCAGCAAACAGAAGGAAGCTGGATGGATTTTAATGCAGGATAATCCTGGAATAACAGAACCAGAGCTGCAGAGTTTAAATCAGGGTATACATATGTGGTAGAACTGCCTAGATAAAGTCCAAACTTAAATAAATTTGAAACATTATTTCTATTACAGCTCTTCATCCAATCTGATTAGTTTTAAGCTAATATTAGCAAAGAAGAAGGAAAAACAGTTACTAAATGCAAAGCTGGTGCAGAAACACCCTCAGAAGATTCTCGTGTCCTAAAAAAATAATTGAATTTCCTTTCATTTCACAATTATGGACTACTTGGTGCATCTCTGGCTTTTACATCGTCCAAAAGTGTTAAAACTTGAAGGGCTATGAATAGTGAGGTTCACCATATTTTTTCTCTGTAAAAACATTTGAAGGCTTTTTGATGCAAGAAAAAAGCAAGAATAGCTCAAGTACATGTAAGGCCTGTTAGCATAACGAGGGCAGCAGCCTTCTGTTAAAAATGGGTAGATAATAAAAGCAAACCGGTGCCATTTATCTTTCCTTGTGTTAGCTTGTTTGCATCGTTTCTTAATGGCTGCAAATCAGTAGTGTGGCCCTCCTGCTCTCAGGTGTTGTTGCAGAGATCAGTGCTCGTATTAGACATGATCTGACTGCAGGGCAAACTGGAATGTTGTGAATCTGTTTTAGTGATTAATAATTAGTGATTGTCCGAAGCTTCAGTTACTGAAACTGACGACATGAGCTTGTATATCTGAACCTGAACATCTCGAGCATACATTAAGACTTAGAAAGAACACAAAAAAAGGCAACCCAGGTTTCAGATTTCTCTTTTGAATGATAAATATGTACAAACAGGAGGTGAAACTCTGTTTTAAGAAAGTGCACGTACAGAAAACTGTTGTTCTGTACCTTTGGGACAAAGCCCACTGATCAGATTTGGGAAGGTTACAATACAAAAGGAAGTGACCGCAGTGGGCAGACAAAGCATTCTGGGTAATGAATATTTCTCACGTTTACCAAGGAGGCAGAAACGTTTCCAAGTGAAAGCCACAGATTGGAAAGAGTACACAAGAAAAAGCAGCTTTAAAGTACCATGTTTAGCAATGGGAGAGGTTTAAAAAGTTCAGTGTTCTTCTGCGTTTCTTTCTTCAGACTGCTGCAAAAGACCAGTGAGAACGCTACAAGATGTGACCATTTTCAGATGAAGGGGGCTCCGAAACATTTGAGACACCACTGGATGCTGGGGCTGGGCGGGCGGTCCATGCGGTGCAGAGACTTGAGCTGCTCTGGGCTCAGCTGGTCGTAGGCCTGCCGGTACTCCCTGTCGAAGGCCTCTGCAGAGGTTCAAACAAAAGACAGATCATTTCAGGGAACATCAGCAGCCACATGATGATCAACTTTAATACAGCAGCAAAATGTCATTTTTTCTATAAAAAAACCCAACCGTTAATTCAATTCTAGAGAATCGGGTCCAAGTGGTTGGGGTATTTAAAGCCGCTACGGTCAGACTTGTAAAACCACAAACTACTCCTATTTTACAACACACAAGTGTTGCGATCGTACCAAGGTGTCAAGTAAGCCTCTCTTCAACCCCCGTTTTATTTTATTCTTGTTATTTTATTCTTATTCCTTGGTGTTTTCATGCTTGTTGTATTGGTTATATTCCTTTGTACTGTACAGCCACCAGCAAAAAAAAAAAAAGACGTATATTACGCACAAACAAGTAGCCTTTAGAAAATCGGAATAAAATGTCTGGCTTTCAGGTTTGCGTGCAAGAAAATACAGAATATAAAGACTCATATATTCTCCTTTTTGTTTAAGAAGGGCAGGTTTTGATGGTGCAGAAAGCTTATACTAGCAAGCTGACTACTGTGGCTATGAGGTGAATATGATCAGAGTCATAATTAGGAAGGTTTTAAACAACTTGAACTGAAGTAAAACTAGATCTATACATTATAGGGAGGAGGAAGGGGGAAATAAAAAAACTAAAATCTCAATCTAATAAGAATAAAGAGAGGGATCACCAAGAACAAACATTAGGCAGCATCCCTAAGCTAAAAGTCTAACAAAGTCAAAACAAATGCAGTGAGAAGATTTAATGAAAATCGTGTCTAATAACCACTGAGCTGCAAATAAAAGGGAATTAATCCCACTATTTTTAAAAACAATCTAATAACTTCGGCTGATTAAGTTAAACTACATGAACAGGAATTAATTTGTTATAATCAAAAGTTTTTGTTTTTGTTTTTTTTTTAGCTCTTTTCCTTTAACGTATCCAAAATATTTTCTGTATCAGTTCCTCACAGATATGTACTATGCAGCATTCATTGCTCCTAACAGAAAATGGAAGAGTATTTGTGTAAATTCTCAGTTATTTTTACATCAAACTTATATAAAATACTGTGAAAACGAGACAAAAATCAGTGGGTAATTGATCTGATCGGTGTAAATCACCCAGTAATTATTAAAGGTTTATTATCGTAATGATGGTTTGTTATATTGAGTAAACATTATAACACTTAAAGGTATAATGGAGGATGTTCTTTTTCTGGGTGGATCATCAAATAAGTGATCCTCCTAACTGTCAATCATTCTGGTGATATGTTTATCAACGTGCTCGTCCCCATTTTCACTTGTGTTGAGTCTGACATAGTGGAAAAATAGCTAATCTTGTTTTGGAAAGTAAGCTTGTATGAGCGATGCAAACAGCAACTTTTACACGGAGAGTGCACGAGGAGAAAGGGGCTCATTCATGCATTTGCAACTGTTTAATAGGCGTCCCCTCTCGAGAGCGGGTGCAGGGTTGTGCATGTGCATTATTTTTTTTTCTTTTCAAAAATTCAGGGAATCCTCCACTATTCCTCCAAAGTAAACAGCAGGGTTTACAAACACTGTGTTGTCTACGATTCTGTGAAAAACACAGTGAGACTGTTTCCCACACAGAACAAATGCACTTTCATTTAAGGTTGGGTATTTACAGGACATTTCAGACTGAAATTCAAAGACATATTCATACCCAGGTGTGTCAGTTAGTCGATGATGGGGACATATCTGATGCGAGTTATGAAGTAAAAGTAAGATTTTTCTCAAATGATTCACTCACCTATGTCAATGTTCTCCCGCCCCAAGGCCACCAGTGAAAGAAACAGTATTTCTCTATAAATACTCCTGCGAGAAATTCAGAGAAGAAAGTTAGACAACAACTAAAATACAAAGAAATCAGCAAAAACTCAGCAAGTCTCTGTAGAGACTAACCTCTGCCGTTTAACACCTTCTGGATGACGTTTGATCTCCCGTAGCAGCAGGTTGATCGGACCATAGACGTCGTTGGTCTGGATGTTTCGAACAATGGTGTTGAGGAGGGTCCGGATCTCCTGGTGATCTGTTGGACCCAAAGTCCCCTTCTTCTCCACTACCAACAACAAACACTTATTTAACAAAAAACAGACTCTCACTGCGAAGGCTGCAGGATACATTTTTCCATACATTTATCCACCAATTTCATTTCCTAGTACTGTTAAGGAAATTCAAACTAAAAATTTCCTTAACTCATTGATAATAACCCACTCTTTCAAAGGAGCTGTAAATTATTGTCCTTTGGTGCCATCTACTGGAAAACTGGAAATTAGACATCAAACTCAGGCACTCACAGAAGGTCCTCCAGAGGAGGTAGAGGGGTTCTTCAGGCTCTCGGTGCAGGTTGATGTTATCCCACAGCAGCTGGACGAAGACATGCTTACTATCCTGAGTCAGTGACGTCAGAGGAAGCTGCAAAGACAACATTGTTACAGAAATGTGAGTGCTTCCAAAAACTTACATTTGCACATCTTTCAACCTCAAACTTTATTTCATAGGGATTTTTGAGACTCTGATACCCTTTAATAAACCAACCAGCTTTAGAAGTCACTGGAAGTTACAATCTTAATATAACACATCGATAATTTTAACCAATCATAGAAACGTAGAGGGAGGAAAGCTGTTTTTAACCTGTACTCCATTGTTGCAGTGTTCAGAGGTTAAGATGAGGCCAGGGAGGTGAGACGGGAGATCCAGGCGACGGAAATACCACACCAGGTTCCAGAAAATTATGGGATGCTGACTGAGGAACTTGTGTGTGTAGATGACCTGGATGGAAAACATCGCAGAGGTTTTTAGAACGGAGAGCCATTTCAGGAAAAATGTTAAGTGAAACGCACTATGAGAAATAATTTGCACCTGGTCTCCTTCATTCTCCAACAGGGTCTCCAGCTCCTTGCGCAGGACCAGAGGGCTGAGGTACGGTACAGACACCGGTTTGGGATTGGGACGTTTTTTGCCAATGCCATCCTGATGTACACATAAAAAAAAGAGAAATCCAACCATTAAATCCTAGTAAAACATGCTACTTGGAGCTTTGCTTTAATCATTACAGCCAAGTGAAAAGTGCTGACCGACACTTCCTGCAGGCTGCAGGGCAGGCTGGTGGTGGAGACACCGTGTCCGGGTCTTAGGGAGTAGTCCAGGCTCTGCAGAGGGCCTCCGACGCTGTTGCTGCGTGTCAGTGAAGTCCCACTGGGTCTCTCCTGTTTCCCTGCTGCCTCCAAGAGACCCAGAGGATCTGATTGGACTGGCTTTGGAATCAGGCTGGGGAGGCAACAAGGAAAGGGGGCATCAAGCTGTTTCTGCAGGACTTCAGTCTTTCTTTCAAGGTTCAGAACAAAACAGAAAATTTATAAACGGTTCATTGCAACACTGGGTAAAATTCTAGAAATAATTTAAATTATTCTCCAGGACTGAAAATTGATGTTTTTCAAACCAAGTAGGAGCCTCAGTTTGACAATGTTGTTTGGAGCTACTCCATATTAGGCCGAACCTCTTATGAGCTGCAGGTCGACAGTCTGGATTCTCCTTTGACTCCTCCTCAGAGAAGTTGATGGCATCTGGGGTCTTTATATCAGCTAAGCTCCCAGCTGTAGGCTGGGTGCTGCTGCTGTGAATGCTTTCTCCTGATGCACTGGGATTCATATAAAAACTGAAAGAAGATATCAAAAGTCAGCTTTTTGCTTTGCATCTATATTCAAACTGAAAAAAGTGATCTGCCGCTAGGTATTATTCTGAGGGAGTCGTACTCGGGCATCGTGCGGAGGTCATGAAACTCTATGTGCAGTAAGGGAAGGAAGGCTGTTCGGCAAAACGGACAGTTTGTGTTCAGATTGGAGTCATCCGCTGTCCAGCCTGCCATTATCTCCTCATCATACACCAGGGCCTCGCAGGAGCGGCATTGGGAGCAGCTGGACATCAGCACCTAGGGAGAGGCAAATTCAGCAATTACTTCAAGAAACTGACACATTTATCACAGAGAGGGTTAGTTTGTGTGGGCCGGACCTCCAGAGCACAGTTCTGGTAGATACTGGAGGAGGAGGCGTGATGTGAAGAGTTTTGCTCAGAGTCTGGACCCCTGCCTACACGCCCTGTAGTTGCATCTGCAGCCATAAAAAGATAACGTCAACAGAAATCTCCTAAAAAAAAGGAAGTTTGTGGTTTTACGTCGCGTGTAGAGATGAGAACTTACTGGTCTGCTGTGTCCCTCTGCCCGTATCACTGCTGCCACTGCTGCTGCCCAGACTGGTGCTGCTCCGGTTTAGACCATTAGCTACCAAACCAGGGTCGGCTCTTTTCTCGGGACTCTCCTCTAAATCGTGTGCAGACAGCAGGTGTTCATCCAGACGTCCGGGGAATCGGGCCGCACCCTGAGGATCTTCATCCTGCAGTTAAATTTCAAAATTACAGTTTGCAAATGAGATTCTTCTTTTTTAATATTAAGCTTTTTTTAAGGTTTACATCCTATAGTACTTTGATATGAATAAATACATAAATACATTCACCCCTCTAGATTAAATCCTACATCAGATAACCTGTGTTGCGGTCTGGGAACCACTGTCCAAGAAATGCAGATGCTAATCCACCTCAGATGTCTGCTAACATTTCTAAATCCTGCATATTCAATCATTGAAAACTAAAGAGTAAAATGAAGAGTTAAGCCTTCATGTTGTTAGCTGAAAGTCTTGGTCTCTCTTTCTGGGCCAAATTGAACATGTCTCAGAAAATTCACTTTCCTTTTAAATAGTGGGCTTCACATTTAAAACTCATAGTAACTAATAATGGATTAAGTTTAGTAATCTTGCAATAACATCTTCCACACTGCAGGGTGTTGTGAGCAATGTGATTGGGCAGAGCTAACGATTGTTTATGTCCACTCACCTCATCATCGGAAGAAGCAAAAGCTGATTGCATGGCCTCCCACATTTTACTCCCCACATTCGCTGCTTGCTTCATGCCCGACTTAAGCACGTCGATTTTGGCTCCGGACAGCAAAGAGTCCATTTTGATGCCTGAAATGGTGTTGATGACGGATCCCAGCGATGCTGCCTGCGAGGACTTGACCAATGCCGTCAGTGTGGAGGATTTGGGAGTGGCGCTTTCCGTGGTGCTAACATAGGTTTTTGTCTTTACTGCGAAAGTCTTGGAGCGAGTGACCGTGCTTGGGCTGCGTTTGGGCGTGTCCACTGGGGAAGTGCTTGCACTTTTGGCAGGTGGCACCGGAAGGCTGGCCCTCCGTTCCAGAGGCTTTTGGCCGTCGGTGGAGTCCCCCTGAGCCTTCTGCAGCTCCATGCTGGAGGACTTTGATCCCAGTGGGCTCTTCAGACTCATGTACATTTCGATTTCCTCGGCCAGGTTGCGGGATACAACGGTAGGCACGGAGCGCGGCGGATCCTGACTGCTAACAGAAGCTGACTCCTCTTTCTCTGACACCAGGAGGGAGAGAGGGTCAGCCCCTGCCTCCACGTCGGCCCTCTCCAGCGTAGCTCCTCGGACTCCAGACTCATCGTCCTGAGATTCAGTCTGCCTCCTCTCTCGTTTCTCCTTCCTAACTTCAGCAACCATCTGTTTCTCCTCCCCTTTCGTTTCCTCAGACGCTCCAAGGTCCTGCTCACTTGAAGGCTTTTTGTCTTCCCCAGGCTCCTCCTCTACATCCTCAAAAAGTGCTTTGGACTTCCCGTGAGGCAGTGGACTCTGAGCTCCAGATAGCGCCGCTGTAAGTATACGAGCGTCTGCGCCCATTTGGCTGGCCATGTGGTCCACGCCTTTTTCCAAGAGCATCCCAGCACGGGTTTCAGCACTGAAGCTGCAGCTGCGCTCTGAGAAGGCTTTCTGTCGCTGATGCTGAGACTGGTGGGCTGCTTTTACAGGTGTCATCGAGTCGCTGTGATCAGGCAGAGACACGTCCTCAGTCTTACTGAGACTTCGGAAAAGCTTCCCCGTTTCTGGAGAGAACAAATGCAAAGTAGGTCATCTAAAGCTGCAACAATAGAACCAAATAGCTCCTTTTTTTTAGACCTCAAAGCTTGCAAAAATTAGAAGAGTTGACTTACTGGTTTCCCTGCCGCCATCAAAGCTTCCGGTGGAGAGCCTCACAATACTGGGGACAGGTGAATGGACATCAACAGGACTGGGCGGCTCTGCTACAGCTACGGCACTGTCCACTGAGCCCGCAATGTCGCCCCCTGGTTGCAAAAACAAACACTAACTGTACGGAAAGCAACCACATACTTTTAAGTCTCTGTACTCTCTAACACTTCTCAGTCATTTTTGTCTAAATTTAAATTAAAATGGATCCATAAACAGAAAGATGGATGACAGATCTACAAAGACATTAAATGAATGAGATAAATGAGTGGGCAGACATATTTTGGATGATCAGAGGTAGGGGAAGAGAGAGATAGGAGAATGGGAGGGTGCATTATTAAAAACAGCACAAAATTGATATCACAATGTGCCACAAAATATGGAAGTTATGAATATACTGCTCTACTCTACATAATCAAGACTGCAGCATGAGAGTTAACATATTTTCTAACCATCAAGGTCATTTTTATCAGCATTTCTCTGCTCAGTGGATAGCTCGCCTGCAGCCGAGGCCTCTGCCAGCTCCTGGTGTAACTCATCCTTAGACCCGTATCCTTGATCAGACTGCCCTGAAGAAAAAAAACCCAGCTGTTGTCAGCAGTTATATATTTATAATTATATATTTTTTTCCAAGCATTGAACGTGAGAAAGGGAGTTTTTTTAATTAGCTTCAGGTTTTATCAGGTGAATCTACCTGTATTACAGCCCTCTACTGTGTCCTCATTTGGCTCCTCGCCGTTAACTTCACTGGAGCTGTGAGCGCTACCATGACTCAGATTATCAGCATCTGTAGCTACTGACTCTTCTGATGCAGCTAGGAGAACAACACAGGGAGAATTAGTGATCAGAAAGACATAATGCATGCTTTTAAAACCTTTTAAGATTCAAAGTTTTTGTTTTTTTCCAACACTTTTGTGAAATGTTCTGAGCATTTGAGTATAAATACTGCAGTGCTTCCTTAATTCTGGTTTTATCTTAAAATCAGAAGGTCAAAAAATAATGTTTTTATTGTAACTAAACAGCTTTTTTTGGTGAAGATCTTGAGCACATAGATTTGTCAAATTAGGTTATTTAAAGCAGAGCTAGCAAACATGTCTGTGGGACAAAGCCCTATAAAAGTATTATATTTGTTTGGTAAATCAGGCTCTGTTTATGTGCCACAGGTTGAGTAAAAAGACGATTTAAAATAAAACAGGTACTAAGGTGGTCCATTTTTATTTTTTGCACAGTGCTTGGTCAGAAAGTGCGAAACTTTGTCAGTCTGGTAAAATAGATCAAGATTTTTCATTTTAAACAGGAAATGGTTGCATATTTTTTACATTTGGTCTAAATTTCAGCTTGATCAAATTGATGATTTGATTACTTAATTAGTTGAAAATACTTCTAAGTCAATTCAATGACACTTTATTAATCCCAAAGGAAAATTAAATGTTGCAGTAACTCATACGTTATTTTTTTAAACAGGTGTTGTAGGTGTTGATAGCTGTAGGCAGGAAGGATCTTCTGTAGAGTTCTATTTCATCCCTACTGACCGCCAGAGGGCGGTGCTGAAAGCACTGAATGTTCCCTTCGGGCATGCGCAGTTCGAGTAATTATACCAACAGAGTCACACCTGTGACACCGGATGACCACTCAGAAGCTATATAGCCTGGTGTCATCCTTTGCTCTGCTCCTTTTTTCTTCTCGCAAGCGGTTCGCTAACTTCCCCGTTGTCTGAAGCCCCTGTCTCTTGACCGGAGTTGCGGTTATTCTCCGCCCTCCCAGGGCTGCAACGGGTCGATTCTGAAGATTACGGAAGGTAAGTGAGTTGTTTGCTGGTGATGGTAGCGTCCGCGCCCCCTCCCCCGGCTCACGACTTTAGCTTTTTACCTACAGCTTCGTGCTGTTTTGTTCCGAACTGGTGACGGCAGCGTTTTCGCCCCTACTCCCAGTGTGAATAACTTCACTGCCGAAGTTATATACGGCTAACGTAGTTAGCTTCTTTAGTTTGTTGGTGTTATACCTGGTGACGGCAGCGGTTTTCGCCCCCTCTCCCAGTATATTCCCTACTTTTGCATCCTTTTTTTCACCGGTCTGCGCTGCTATAATTACTGACGGCCGCGGTTTTCGCCCCCTCTCCCAACCAAGTGTGGTCTACTTCGTTGCCGAAGTTGGAGACGGCTAACGTTGTTAGCCTTTTTTGGTTTGTTTGCAGCCTTCTTCATCGGTCTGCTTAATTATAAATGGTGACGGCAGCGTTTTCGCCCCCTCTCCCAATATCAACCTTTTTTTGCAGCCTTTTCGTTGGTCTGCTCTCTTAATTGGTGACGGCAGCGTTTATCGCTCCTACTCCCTACTTAAGTTGCCATACAGCTAACGTTGTTAGCTTTTTTTTGTTTATTGCTTTTATACCTGGTGACGGTAGCGGTTCTCGCCCCCTCTCCCGGTATCGTCCGCCTTGTGTCCGCAGCCTCTCTTGTTTTATCCGCTATAATTGGTGACGGCAGCGTTGTTCGCTCCTACTTCCAACTTAAGTTTCCATACAGCTAACGTTGTTAGCTTTTTTGGTTTATTGGTTTTATACCTGGTGACGGTAGCGGTTCTCGCCCCCTCTCCCAGTATCGGCTGCCTTGTGCTCGCAGCCTCTTTCGTTTCTCTGCTGTAATTGGTGACGGCTGCGTTTGCGCCCCCTCTCCCGATTTTCGATAACTTTCTGTTCTTTAAGCCTTGTCGGCCTTCGACATGGATGGCTCTCACAGCTGCATAGATTGTGGGGCTGCCCTGCAGGCAGAGGATGGCCACGACCTGTGCCCTACCTGCCTTGGACATGAGCACCTTTTGGAGGCGCTGTGAGAACCCCTGTATGAACTGCAGCTTTATGCCCCATGCAGTGAGGGTGGCCCGGTTGGCCCAGTTGTGCCCCCAGGAGGGCTCGGACCTTCCGCCCTCTGGGCAGGTGGTTCCCCCCAAGCGTTCTAAGCGCCGTGGTGGGACCACAGCATCTGTGCCCCTCCCCCGGAGGAAGCGGGCCAAACCTGACCAGGGCCTGTCCACAAGGGTGGAGCAGTTGTCAGCAGAGCTGGCAGAGATGAAGTCCTTGTTGCAGACACGGCAATCTGATCCCTCGCTCCCAGTGGTTGGGCTCTCTTCCCCACCAATGCCCGAGCTGGTTGTAGAGGATGACGTTATCTCTCTGGCTGCCTCCGCTTCTCATTTTAGAGATGAGGAGGAGGCAGGGTCCTCTCAAGCCTCTGAGGCTGGTTCATTTTCATCTCAGAGTGCGGTTGGAGAGGCCGGTGACGGTTCCATGCGGGAGGTCATGTCTATGGCCCTGAAGCAGCTGCAGCTGGAACTCCCACAAGGAGAGGCATCCAGCTCTGGCAGTGCTTTTTTCAGACGTGGAAGGGCTCCTACTCCTTTTTCTGTACCTCCATCAGAGGAGTACCTGAAGGAGTTACACGCCTGTTGGCGGGAACCGAGAGCGCTGTCGCGTCTCTCCTCGGATGGTCGTGTATTAGCTGCCATGCATGAGTCAGTGAAGGCCGGCCTGGACCGTATGCCAGCAATTGAACCAGCTGTTGCTTCACTGATTGTGTCACCAGATGAAGCCCTGCGTCCTGATGTCCGGTGCCCGCGGACTCAATGTCGGGTTACAGATGACCTCCTCTGTAAGGCGTACAATGCAGGAGCGCGTGCTGGCCGCCTTGGCAATTCCCTGGCGCACCTCATGTTTGCCCTGTCTGCATCTGTTCAGGACACTGGTGGTGCAAGTGCGGCGATTGGTTATAGTGACGCAGCGCTGCAGGCCTTCGCGCTGATGACCAGAGAGCTTGGACGGGTCATGTCTTTCCTTGTCCAAGCTCGTAGACAGGTCTGGTTGGCACAGTCTCCTCTGACTGAAGCATGCCGTAGGACCCTCAGGGGTGTCCCGGTTGTACCAGGGGAGCTGTTTGGATCAGCTGCCTTGGAGGCGCTGGAACGGACTGCTCAGGCACGTCAGACTAGCCAGCAGCTTTCCGGCCTTCGCAGGAGCATACCTGCCTTTCCCCAGCGTTCGGGCCGCCCTGCCACTACCCCCAGCGTTCAGCCACGACCTCAGACCGGTGGCAGACCTGTTGGTTCCTATCCCCATGATGTGCGGCAGAGACCGAGAAGGGACTTTCGTGAGCCAGTCTGCCACCCTGTTAGACAGACCCGGGCCTCAAATCCTGGACGCCCTCCCCCCAGAGCCCCCAGGGGCCGTGGGGATAGAAGATGATGCCACCGGGCCAGCCGTCGGACATTTTTCCCATCAGCAGCTGAATTTCTGGGCTGCTCATGCCGTAGATCCATGGGTGGTTGCCACCTTAACCAATGGCTACAGGCTCCAGTTCCGACGGCGGCCCCCCCTCTCACACCGGGTCAAGATGACTGTCATCACAGACCCGGTGAAATCTCAGGCACTAGACCAGGAGCTTTCCGCCCTCCTGGGCAAGGGGGCAATCGAGTCTGTAGATCCTCTGCAGCAACCCAGAGGCTACTACTCCACATACTTCCTAGTGGCCAAGAAGACCGGCGGTTTTCGCCCCATTTTAGATCTAAGGGGACTGAATCGGTACCTGAAGGTCCTTCCCTTCCACATGCTCACCATAACAGAGGTCCTTCAGACCATTGTGGCGGGAGATTGGTTTACATCAGTAGATCTGACAGACGCCTACTTTCACGTGCCTATTGCGGCAGAACATCGCCGTTTTCTCAGGTTCGCCTATCGGGGGTGCCATTGGCAATTCCGGGTGCTCCCATTCGGGCTCTCCCTTTCCCCGAGGGTGTTTACTCGATGCGTGAAAGCAGCCCTCTCTCCTCTACAGGCCTCCGGAGTCAGGATTCTGCCATACCTGGACGATTGGCTTCTTTGTGCTCCCTCTCAGGTAGCTGCCTCTCGGGATACGTCCCAGCTTCTACTTCATGTGTCAATGTTAGGCCTCAAAGTCAACTTGGCAAAGAGTTGTCTGGTTCCATCTCAGACAACCACCTTTCTTGGGATGCATCTGGACTCTGCTACCATGATGGCCCGTCCATCTGTTCACAGGGTGGACGACATACTCCAGCTTGTCCGTCGATTCAGACTGGGCAGGGAGTTTCCCTACATCACCTTCCTGCGAATGCTGGGCAAACTGACATCAGTCACTCGTGTCGTGCCCTTAGGGCTGCTCCTTCTGCGTCCTTTGCAGCGATGGCTCAACAGCTTTCGCCTAGACGCCAGGCTGCACAGGCATCGCAGGCTAATGGTGACCAGGAGCTGCCTCCATGCCCTAGCTCCTTGGCGAGACGGGACCCTTTTGTCCAGTGGTGTTCCAATGGGGCTAGTAGTGTGTCGAAGGGAGGTGGTCACCACGGATGCCAGCCTCATGGGCTGGGGTGCCGTGTGGCAACACAGAGCTGTTCGGGGTCTCTGGGACCCAAGGGAGCGCACCGAACACATAAATGTGCTGGAGCTGCGGGCTGTGCACATGGCCCTCAGGTGCCTTCTGCCCCACCTAGAGGGAAGGAACGTGCTGATTCGGACAGACAACACCTCTGTTGTTTATCATATAAACCACCAAGGTGGCACCAGGTCAGCACGTCTCTTGAAGGTGTCGAGGGATCTCCTGGAATGGGCGTATCCCCGTCTGTGTACCCTGCGCGCAGCGTATCTGCCAGGACGGCAGAACCAGGTTGCGGACTCTCTATCCCGCCAGGCACCTGCTCCGGGAGAGTGGTCTCTTCACCCCGACGTAGTGCGCATAATCTGGAACCTCTTTGGGCAGGCAGAGGTAGATCTGTTCGCCACAGAGGAGTCGACCCATTGCCCCCTATGGTATTCCCTAACCGGGATGGCGGGCGCACTGGGCCAGGATGCACTGGCTCATCCATGGCCGCAGGTTCTCCTGTATGCCTTTCCACCCCTCTCACTGGTTTGGCCGACTCTACGGAGGGTTCTCGGGCAGGGCCACAGAGTGTTGCTGGTAGCTCCGTTCTGGCCAGCGCGGCCGTGGTTCCCGCTGCTTTGGAGTCTGTGTCACGGTACTCCATGGCGTCTTCCAGCAAGGAGGGATCTGCTGTCTCAGTTGGGGGGACAGATATGGCACCCCAACCCTCAACGTCTCCAGCTGTGGGCATGGCCCCTGGGAGGCTGACTGGGTGTTCAGACACCGTGAGACACACCGTATTGAGTGCTAGGGCTTCCTCCACTCGGCTGCAGTATGCTAACAGATGGCGCCTCTTTTCTCAGTGGTGCTCTGCCCACAATGAGAACCCGCTTTCCTGCTCGGTGCCCACTATTTTGGAGTTCCTCCAGTCTCTCCTTGATAAGGGCCGCTCTCCTTCGACCCTTAAAGTGTATGTTGCAGCAATTTCATGTCTTCACCGAACTGTTGACAACCGTACAGTGGGGCGCCATGAACTGGTTTCACTTTTTCTGCGTGGTGCTCGTAGGTTGTGCCAGCGGCCAGCCCCACGAGCCCCAGATTGGGATCTGCCATTGGTTCTCACAGCTCTGTGCCACCCTCCATTCGAGCCTTTGGCACAAGCAGAACTCAAGTGGCTTTCCTGCAAGGCTGCTTTCCTGATGGCTATCGTCTCAGCTAAGAGGGTCAGCGAGCTACATGCTCTTTCTGTCAGCCCTAGGTGTATCAGGTGGAATCCAGATGGCTCTGGTGTTACCCTGTGGCCTAATACTGCGTTTGTGCCTAAGGTGTTGTCTCCTTTTCACCGTAACCAGCCATTGCGGCTCGCTCGGTTTCAGCCTCAATCTGGTACAACTGAGAATGAGTCGGAGTTGTTGTGCCCAGTAAGAGCGTTGGAGGCATACATTGCAGCCACCGCCAATCTGAGACGCTCGGACCAGCTTTTCCTATGCTATGGGGGTCCAAGGTTAGGCTGTCCTCTTTCTAAACAGCGTCTGTCCCATTGGATTGTGAGTGTCATCTGCCACGCCTACGCTGCAGGTCACTGCTCCCTGCCAGTCGGTGTGAGAGCACATTCCACCAGGAGCGTCACCGCTTCCTGGGCTGCTTTGAGAGGGGTTCCGCTGGAAGCTATATGTGCTGCTGCTTCATGGGCTTCCCCAACCACCTTCACCAGGTTCTACAGTGTCAATGTGGCTGCCCCTCATCCCCTGGGTCAGGTCCTTTTACAAGGTTCTGCTGGGCCTCCTCTGTGAGGTATGTGCTCAGGATTCCTTGTGACATCGTTGGCATTAGTCATTCAGTGCTTTCAGCACCGCCCTCTGGCGGTCAGTAGGGATGAAATAGAACGAAAGTTACGTATGTAACTACGGTTCTATGAATCCCGGATGACCGCCAGAGCTTCTCTGTCACTCAGAATCCTTGCTTTTGCGAGAAGATTCTGTAGGAGCAGAGCAAAGGATGACACCAGGCTATATAGCTTCTGAGTGGTCATCCGGTGTCACAGGTGTGACTCTGTTGGTATAATTACTCGAACTGCGCATGCCCGAAGGGAACATTCAGTGCTTTCAGCACCGCCCTCTGGCGGTCATCCGGGATTCATAGAACCGTAGTTACATACGTAACTTTCGGTCTGTCTTGCACCAGATCTGGAGAAGCCTCTTACTGAAGACACCCTGTTGTTGTTGTTAAAAATCCTCTAACGAGGATGCTCACTGTTGCCCATAATTTTATTCACTTTATGATTAATTATTCTTTGCGAAATAATCTCCAGAGTTTAAGAATATCAGAGTCAAGCTAGCAAAGTTACTACAATGCGCTCCCACCTTAAACAGTGCAATTGTAGAATAGAAAACTTCAGACTTTTAACATTGAGCCAATAGCATATTCTAGAAAAGCAACCCTTTATTCAGTCTTTCTCACCTGTGGTCGTTGTCGTAGGTGTTTTCTTCTTTGATGACCTCTGATTTTGAACTTGCTTGAACTGGGCCACCCCACGGACGACGTTACGCAACTTGGTCCACATGAAGAGGCCGCTGCGGTTTCGACTGGGCCAAGGGCTCTCCAGGACCGCCTGTGGACAGCGGAACGCTTTGTCTCAATAGAACAAGCCAGCAACATATCTAAACTGTTTCTTTTTTTATATTAAACAAAAGGTATGAAGCAAACCTTGTTATAGTATCCGTACGTGATGGCGTTGGGTTGAACTCCAGCTTTTTTCATCTCTACCAGGACTCTTACAGCCATAACAGGGAGACCCCACACACCACAGAGCTGCATCACCACTCTGTAACAGACCTAAGGCACAAACAGAGGATTGATCTGCAGCGTTCCATGCCAATCGAAGCTTCACCAGAAACAGCAGAGAGCTGAGCCTACCTCATCCAGCACCTCCACCTCGGTGGCCTTCATCCTCAGCAGGACGTTGTACGCCTGCTGCATTGCTCGGCTCTTAGACTTGGCCAACCGCACGCCTGCAGGCAGGCAGATGAACCACATGCTGTAGCAGTGGCTAAACAGGCAGCGCGCCCACAGCGGAGGGTTGGAGTAGAAACGCTTTGCCAGCTTGTAGGCATGCTTAATCTCCTGTTAAATAAAAAAAAAAAAAAAGCACACCAAGTTGTTTTAACAGGCTAATGTAATAAAAAGTAGCTCAGCATCTGCTGTATGTACCTGCTTGGTTCTCTTCGCCAGCAGCGCAGGACTGCTGGATAGACTCGCCCCTGCTGCTCTGGTGCTCAGCGCCGGACGCAACTCTCTGGGTCGATCAAACAGACTCAACTGCAGCCTGGGGAAACCCTTATAGCTGGAAAATATAATAAGCTTAATGTCTTAAGGGAGCAAGAGGGTAAAAGTCTGTCTTATGAATACAATTCAGAGTGAATAGAAGTTAGACAGGCTGGTCCCCTGATTTGAACACCTAAAACTACTAAATGATTCCATCATTCTTTCCCTACAATGCCTAGTTCTTCCAGATAAAGTGAATTTTCTGGAGCATCCCCTTCTTCCACCTGCTGCTGTGCACTGCCAGTCAGATGGCTGAGGAAAGGAGATTCTAAATATATAGACTGGAATTCTATCTGATTCCAGAAAAGAAACCCAAACCAGTCATTCCAGATCATATAAAAGGCACAATTTATCCCTTTTTAAGCAACAGTGACTCAAATGTTAATTAATCATTCAATGCAGCCTGAAATATAAATATCTCTCATGAGTTTTAGGCAATTTTGTTCAAGTTTCAAATTAGGTTGAAACAGGTTTGTTTAAATCTACAGAAATTAAGGATGAAGGCATTGATGGAGATGCACAAATATATATGGAAACATTGAATAGTAAACTGTCATTTTTTTTAATAAATCTTTTTTCATAAATCCATGAATCAGTTTAATCAATACTTGAATAAGAAGCCAGGTTCGTGTATCATTTTCTTCATCCTTCATCCATTGAAATGATCAATTCTACACTTTTCAATATATCTTCTACCCGCTGTGACTTCTGTTTATAAACTTATTTTGTTTTTAGCTGGAAGAGACTTTAACCCTGTAATGCCAAATGTATCATATTTGATACATACGGTTTCTGAAACGTCTGACACCTTTTGCATAATTTAATGGTAAAAACTTTGCTGAAAATCCTATTGTACATAATCAGATATACCTGATAACAGAGGGCAGAACACTACACAAAAAATAATCTTGACTTATCGCATAGTAATAAATTATTAATATCAAAAATGTATTTCTGTTTTTTCTTTTTACATATTTTGTTAAAAGGCCAAATAAGAACTTCAAACCAAAAAAAGTAATTTTCTGTTTTGTTTTATTCTTGGATCGGGCTTTAAAGGGTTAAAATCAATCTTACTGATATAAACTAAATAAGATTTAAGCTTTGATCTTCAAATGTTTTCTTTTTTTAGACCGACTTCCAGCATTCACCCGAGCTTCTCCTTTAGTGTTTGCATTAAAAGGCAGCAGCTACAAATGAACATTTTATTACTGCAGCTATAATATTAGCAGTACTGTGATCGGATGTCCTCTGGACGCAGTGCAGGAGGTTGGAAACAAAAGGATCCTAACTAAATTAACATTTCTGTTGGATAATGTCTCCCACCCCATGCATGAAGCTATCCTTCAGTGACAGACTGCTGCACCCTAAAAGCACCTGGGAGCGTTATCACAGATCCTTCCTCCCAGCAGCTGGAAGACTTTATAACATCACTGTTCCAAACAACCTCAATAAGTTGTTATATTCATGATGACTTTTGCAAAGTTTCTCTCTTAGCCTCTTAAATAACATGCTGCTGTCATTTTTTGCACATCTGTGATGTTGCTGCTATTTTTCACTTATGCATTACTCGAACAATGTCCACAGCTTTTTATTGACTATTTATTATTTAATACAGATGCACAGTATTTATATTGTAAAAACAATGTACAGTACAATATTTCTTTTTGTTTATTTTCTTAACTCTGTCACTTATTGTTATTTTTGTACAGTTTTCTAAAGCTCCACATTTGTGTGGCCAGTTTTGATATAACCCTTTGCTGCTGTAACACCACAATTTTCCCATTGTGGGAAAATAAAGGGATTTTCTATTCTATTCTATTTAGGTACATTTTTTGTCTTAAACTTTGGGTTTAAGTAAGCCAGAGTATAACAATAATTTTTTCGGCCCAAGGTAATTATCGTTAAAATCTCATAGTGATATGCGTCTGAATACTTCGGGAAAAAAAGTAAAAAAAAAACGCTTTGTTTTCCAGTCTAACGGTTTTTGACTTTTTTTTTTTTTTAAGGACTATGACCTGGATGACTGAGAATTTTCAACAGCACTTGTCTGATAACTGTTTAGAAAAACTTACGTGTACCAAACAGCGGGTTCCGATCCGTTGTCAGCTGGAGGTTCTGGAGGCATCACAAATACTGTGTGCTCGCTCTTCTGGGACTCATCCAGCTCCAGCAGCTTGGTGTCCTCAGATGAGTCTCCTTCGACCTACAGCCAAGATATCAACCAGATTAGAACCAATAAATCTGCATGTGCAGCTCTTAGCATAAATTAAGCATCAGGCAAGACTTCCAAAAAAAAACATATTTCCTAAATTTGGTTTTTAATGACCCAGACTTTATTCTCTTAAGCTTAGAGCTTCAGACTTTTCTTTTGGACTTTTGCTGCTTTCTACACTGCAAAGAAAAATATAGAAATAAGTAAAAAAATTCTTACATTAAGTGTATTTACCCTTAATTTGAGTAGGTAAATAAAATGATTTGCCAATGGAATTAGTGCATTTACTTATTAAAATAAGACAATTAGATAAAATGCACTTGAAATAAGACAATGCAATAGTTTTTTCTTATTTTTAATTTAAATTGTGTTGTTCCATTGACAAAGTGTCTCACTTACCTCCTCAAGAAAAAAATGCATTTTTTTAAAGAATTACTCATTTAATTTTAAATCCGTTGCAATATAAATGACAATAGTCCTCTTTTTATACAAAAAAATCCTATGTAAACTAACCTGAGACATTTAAAGGCAACAAATGAACAGAAATTAGAGATTTTTTCTACACAGTACTGTAGTGTATAATGCTTTTCCATCCGTCAGTAAAAGGATCATGTTCGATTAGAGTTAGGCTTAAAGGTTAAAGTGGAAAGCAGGAAATGGCCACACCCGGTGTTGTATACATGACTCAAAGAGTATAACATAGCATGCTCTACTTGTTTAACGTTAAACCAGTCTTAAAAAGGAAAAAGCCTCTGCGGAAAAAGGGATTAAACATTACCTTGGTACCCTTGTCGGTGATTTTATCAGAGGGAAAAAGCTGCAAGAAGAGGAAAAAGAGCAGAGGCCAAAGAGTGAATTAAAGGAAGCTTGTTTTCCATCCAACATCCCAAAGTGATTTAGCCAAGAAAGTGTGGTCAAACAAAGGCCTCCTGGAAGGAAAGGGAAAACAACGTGGGCTGGTGATTACCTTCTCCACACAGTCATCGAAAAAGGCCAGGCCTGTGTCTTTGTCGCTCACAAAGGTGCACTCCTCGATAAAACGGATAAATATCTGAGTCTTTGTGAGCTGGGAGTAAAACTTCTGATGGGTGCGGTCTCTGCTTTTCAGGAAACCTACAAGGAGAAATGGAAGATTGTAGTTTGCTCCCAAAAGATTGTCTGGTTGTTTTGGAACATCCAGGATTTGCTTAGAAATAGAAAAAAATTCAATAAAACGTTTCTGTCTATTATGTATGAGCAAACATGGATGATCAATGAAAAGAGCTTTTTAGAGAGCTGGTGGTAGTAATAATTCTGTCCAATTATTGATCGGGGGGGTGTTTGGGAATAAAGACCTAATTCAGAACCATATTCCCAGCAACGAAAATTAATTAGCGTTTATGAAACCTGACCAGACAGGCTGCTGAAGGTCCCCCGCTTACCTTGCAGGTCATAAAGGGAGTCTGCAGCTGTGGCCTTCGCAGAAGGTGCCTGGGTGATGGGTTTGAGGTAGTTGCGGTAGCCCTTCAAGATGGAGGCCATGAAGCGAAGGAAGGCTTCCTGGGTCTCCATCTCCAGGGACATCTTCTTCTTTTGCCACGTGAAGTCAGCATCGATGGGGGTCAGATCCAGAGCAGAGTCTTCGTGTGGAGTTTGGCGAACTGCCACTGAAACGCCAGCAACAATCACTTTGAGTCAGTAGGTCTGCATGCACAATGAGGTTAAACTTTACTTGGCCTTTTGGCTACCTGCATTTCTTATCCAAGTTCTAGACTTTTCAGAATAAAATGTCAAAAGTGTGACCTTAAAAGGAAAAATGTCACTTTAAAGAGACATTATATAAGTTTTTAATTAAAAAAAATTTTTTTTGAGCGATGTGACACATAGAATGTGTTAAATGGGTCCATCCTTGCAAACAATAAAAGTGCTGTATTCCAGATGGATTTTGCGCCTTGCTTCCAGCCCAACTCAAACACCAATAACAACTCCAGGTAAGGAGAAAAAAGTAAAAAAAAAAAAAAAAAACTTCAGTAGGAGAGCCAGTTACGAGAACGAGCAGATAAGTATGATTAAGAAACTCTGTAATGCCTCTTTAAATTTTTTACCCAACAAATAGAGCAGTTAAAAAAAGGAGAACAGCTTTATCCTATTCCTGATAAAGCTGTTCTGCAAAGTGCAAAGGCAAAACTCTGTCAAAGGTAAAATGTGCCTCATCCATTCATCAGCTGTAAACATGTGGTGAATGGATGACTCCTTGTTAGGATGTGATCTGTTAGGAGCAACATCAGATGCTCACACTGAGGCCACATAACCATTGTTACACTTGTTATAACTTGTTCACATTAAAACCTTCACAGTTTACACATTGAAATGTGTGGATGAGCTTCAGATACAGTATAAATTCCTGTAAATCTTTATAAGTTTTTAAATCTCACTGTTTTTTTAAACATTTTACTAACATAAATGATATAATAGTATAAGCATTACATGATTAATATGTCTAAATAAAAAAACTTACACGTAACTAGAATATGACCAAATCTGATCTAAATTTGATCTATTTTTCACATCTGTCCTTTTAACTTCTCAAATAATTGTCAAAATGTGCCACTTTAAGAGCTTCCTGGATGCTGTTTAGATATGGTTTAGTAAGTAAATCCTGGTTTACAATCAGCACTGAATGCTTGAAATGTACCATAAATATCCACAGGTTGTGAGATTTCCTTTAGGTCCTAACATCTTAATTCTCTAGCCACCATATCTGAGAATGTGTTGATAGACCCGTTTAGCTAGCAGGCCTGTTACACCCCAGTGGGGCTGTTTTATGAGTGTTCAAATGTCTGGTGGATGAAAAAGTAGTGGAGTCAAAATTTCCCGCAATGCACTTAAAAAGAAGTGTGCAGTTATATCCTAGAATGCTTTGCAAGAAGAGTGCCTGCATAGCATTATGGGATCGTCTTGGGGGCAAGAAAGAACAAAGATAGTACAGTCATGGAGTCACATGACCAACGGATAGCAAAAAGTAGTGATCATCTATCCCAACTGTCAGTTATCCGAGTTCCCTATCTGGTCCCTGCACTATATAGTGATTGAGGTTTTAAGACGGACGTTCGGACACAGCCTAAGACTGATTGGCTGCCACATACGCTTCTTCCTGCTGGATTATTTATTCATGCATCTGTAGCACCCTTTGATGAGCTGAATAAGAACATGTCAGTTTTTTAAAACCACAGTGACATTTAATTTAATATATCCAAGCATATAAAGCTATTAAAAGTATGAATTTTTGTTATAAAATTAATTTAATAGTCATATTTGAAAGTGGCATTGAAGAGAAGGGTCAATAATGCGCCAGATCAGCTGATTTCCAGTAAAAGCTGCTGGCACATCCAGCGTCCAGCAGGTCATTTGTAATAGCGGTCATAAAGACAAAATTTTATAAGGGCTCAAAGCATTACTTCAGTGGCAACTTTTCTACAGCTCAGAGGAAGTGGTCAAATAGCTTTTTAAGAATCCCAGCCATGACAGAAGGGCTCAAGCAAAATATCATCTATAATGGAATGTATCCTATCCCATGCATGAAGCCGTTGCAGCTTTGGGGGGCTTCCTGATTAGTTTCTTTAACAAATGAGTGCAAAATTATCAATTATTCTGCTCACTTCGAAAATGCAAAGTTTTGCAACTGCGTTGTTTTCACTAAATAAGAAATGTAATTCCACTTGAATACGTTTGTTTACACAATAACTCTGAAAACAACATGCCAACACCAGATGTAAACATGAGAAATATCCATATTTCTGCCACGGCACTAGTGGGCGCCATCATCCTCCAACTGCTCACAGTCTTCTTCATATTTTTACAAGGCAATAAGGTCCAGGTGGATCACGTGACTGGTGTGATACGAAAAAAAAGTATTTCCGTTGCAGTTTTGCAAAATTTAAGAATTTCGATATGAATGAAAAACCACCACTAAGTGTGATTTATTTTATTTTTTAGAAAAACATGAGGCGTTACCATTTAGCATGTTAATTCGTAATTTCAATTTGCACAATTGGATTGTTAATAGAAATGCAGCTAGTACGAATGCTGCCCCATAGGTGCAAAAGGTTGCGTATTTGTAGATCTTTTCTCCAAGCAGCTTTATAACCGTTTCTTCTTAATAAAAGACATCTAATTGCATTTTGCTTTTTTTCCACACACACATTTCAAGGCCCCTAATAGTGAGCAGAGGGCCTGCGTGAGATAAAACACAGCCTCATGTAATCCAGGTTTATAAAAAAATTCAAATGTTTGTTCTTTTCATTGGAGGTCGATTTTGGAGGAACACCTGCACCAAAGCTAATTTGTTTGGGATTGAATCCAGAATAGCTGCACAGAGGATCAAGGCCTCTGTACTTTTGCAGCACGCTTTACAACAGCTCCACAAGTTTACAATTTCACTGGTTTTCTTAGTTCACTTTTGGTCAGCAGGTAAATGAGAAGCACTGAGGTGTAGTTTGTACCTATGGCCAGCTGGTGGTGCAAGTTGTTTAGCAAGTTAATCAGACTCTTGCAGGGTTTCTTTGGGAGGTACTTCCAGTTGCTGTGTTTCTTCTCATCCGACCTGTGACACAAAATACCACAGAGTCAGTCAATTAGAAGTAACAGAAAAAGCTCCATTGACATCAGAACTGGGCTTTGAAAAACAATCTGCTCCAGCAGCCCAAAGCTGTAAATAAATGTCTGTAGTAAAAAGTACAACATACAGATAGATGGTGTTGGTGTCCAGGTCCACACAGACAACATCTGGTGGGGGGTCGTACAGATCAAAGTAACGGGAGTCCACACCCACAATGAATGGACACGGGGCATTAAGGACACCTGCCAGAGAGAGCGGGCACAGCGGGATGTAGGGACACTGCCACTGGAAGGGGAAAATCATCTAAGGAGACACAAACAGACCAGCTGCTTAGTTACTGGTTTAAAAAAATATATTTTTAAACAGGAATCTAATAAAGCAGAAGGTAACGTCTGGTTTCTAAAGACGATCAGATCAGAATGACATCTAAAGCAGAGATGTTTGGCTAAGATAGAGAAATATATTTAAATGTAGCCAATTGAAATAAACTGGTCAGTTTTTTAGGGATTGTGACAGTGTGGAGTTTTTAAAGGTGGCCACACGCTGTAGAAAAAACAGGTTAAAGATAAAAGAGCTTAAGTACTAAAAGGACATATCGTTTTATGTTTACATCAACTGGATTATTACTAAAATAGACACGAATCAAATTGATCACATTTAAAAATGAAGTTTCTTACAAAGATTAACAGAAAAGGAACATTTGCTTCATCTTTGCTTAAGTTTGTTTTTCCAAAAGCAATCTGATGTAAAAACAACATGCAAGAGGTCAAAAGGTCAACTCAGGTGGCCGCTCTAACTATTTCATACATGCAGTCTCACATGTCTAATATTTAACTTGCTTGTGAAATACTGGAACCAGCTAAAAGAAAAGCTTTTACTTGTTATGCAATAAAGGGGCGCAATATTACCTTCATTTCAGCTCCAGGTGAAGCATTCCTTCTACTTATATATATGCCAGTGACGGGAAAAATATACTATTCCTGACAAGTGAAGCACAAAACCATCTGCCTCAAGCACAAACTGTTCCTGTCAGGATACTGAAGCTTGCAGAGTGGAGCAGACATTGTGATGGAAGAGTGAGCTAATTGTGGTTTAATCATAACTTGTTGAGGGTAGTTTTGGTCTGGTGGTTAGCGCAGTGTGCTTGTGCTTTTAGAAGGTTGCAAGTACCCGGTTCAATCCCCATAGGCTGCACTCTGGGTCCCTGAGCAAGACTTAACCCCACACTGCTCCCTGGGCGCCACACAATGGCAGCCCACTGCTCCCCAATAAGATGGGTTAAATTCAGAGAGTGAATTTCCTCATTGTGGGACAATAAAGGAATTTACATTCATAAAGCTAATATTTATATCAATAATCTATCATTGCTAACTTGCTAAGGACCCAGAATATTCTACACTTTCCAAAGAGCCTTTTTGAAGGCTTTTCAATGTTTTTCTATAGGTGAATGAGAAACACTACTGTGTATAAATTTGTTGTTTTCATGGTGAAACATGGTGGTGGGAGCATCATGCTGGAGAAAGGACAGGGAAACAGGTCAGAGCTGATGGGAAGTGGGATGGATCTAAATGTAGGACAATTCTGGAAGATATCCTGTCTGAGGCTGCAAAACAATAGAGACGGGATTGGAGGGTTGACTCTAAACTGTGGTAGCCCACTGCTCACTGAGGGGATGGGTTAATGCACGGGTAAATTAAATAAATCAATAAAGTTCAATTATTATTATATTATAGATTATTATAAAGAGCAGGAAGACACGAGAAGGAGCCAATTTAAATTGACACATCTGTTAGAACGGCCATTTCAAAGTCCAGACAGAAGTCTGATTCTAAATTTCAGTCAAGACTTGATCATCTATTTAAATGCTGCCTTCATTTAATCTTCCTGAGGTTGGGCTGTTTCCAAAGAACAAGGAAGATTTTCAGACACACCCTGCGATTCCCAGTGTTGAATCAGGGCTGGGCTTGATACAAAAACTACAGGATTATTTTTAGATTTTTTTTAAATCTAAAAATAAGCCTGAAAAAGCAAAGTTATCCTTCTAATTCACAATCATGCACTATTTTGCATTAGTCCATCAATAAAATCCCTACAAAAACAGACTAAAGATAGTAGCTGTAAAAAAACAAATAAATAAATAAATAAAATAAAAAACTACCTGCAAACTTTGATAAGAAACTATCATTTTTCACATCTTGGTAATAAAATGAAGTTTTTGATTATATTCTGATAATCAAGCCATAATCAAACCATAATTGTTTTTACAAACACCTGAATACAGTAGAGCTAATGACAGCGTTAACAGAAGAAATGAGGCTTCAATTTGGAACAGGACGAGGGTTACTCATGCTTTTCAGCTCAAATGCATCAGCCATGCCACATCAGACAACAGGGGAGGTTTCAATTTAGCTTTATATTTAAACCATCCTCATAGCTGAACGATATCAGACTGTACTCACAGCTACCACAGCCTCCGCCACTCCGGTGAGCACGGCAGGCCTCAGCGAGTGCAGCAAGATCTTGCTCTCCAGCAGGATAAAGTGCAGCAGTGTGGCGCAGTTTTCAGCACCTAGATTCATCAGCAGGGTGCCGTAATCTGCCCCGCTGACAAAGACGGAGAGGGAAACCAGATCAGTTTCGAGCGGGTAAAAAGAAAACCGATAAACGAGAGCACAGGAATGGAATTGTGACAGCATGGATAGATTGAGGAAAATTGATGCTATAGTCAAAAGGGCTTAAAACTGGACAATTATCAAAACATAACAAGCGGGTTTTATTCTGCTCTATGGTCTGAAAAACAAAAACAGAAAAAAATGTTTTTAACCTTGGACATAAACTGATTTTTTCTGGAATTTATAACCTGTAGTGTCCCACAGCTAATATATCACAGAAATATCACCTGTGGGACACAACTTTTATAGGTTTACTAACCAAAACATCACATCCTGCTACCTATGAGCCCCTGCACAGTCAAGAAAGGTTTTACTGAGAAACTTCATAGTATTTATTACCTGAGGGGTAAAGGAGTACACACAGGCTGAGAGAGTATCAAAGTGTCATGTGCCGAGAGCTGCAAAAGAAACAACGTCTATGTTAGGAAAGCACAAAATAAAAGCATTGTCTGACAGCTCCTTAATAGGAACACATACAGAATCAAAAACAAAATAAATAACCAAACAGTTACTACCATGTTAGCAACATGGCAGCTTGTAGTAAATATGCAAGCTCACTGTATGGACAGGTAGGCTCTGTAGGTTGAGCAAAGGTTAAAAAGGCACCGAAATGTTAACACTAGTGTGGATGAAGATGAATGAGCTGAGAAAGTGTCAACCAACAAGGCAAGAACATATTAGCAAGGAAAATTTAATCAACTTTGTTCAGAAAATCAGATTTTTCTTATCTAATATGTGAATCTGACATACATAGGTGTATTAAAGTCACGCTGTCAATAACAACCTTCAGTGAGGAAGTAGAAAGAAGGTTAAGTGTTGAAAAAAAATGAATCACTGGTGGGATCTGCTGTTTACAGCTGTAAGGAGACCACCAATGACAGGAAGCTAAATGCATAAAAACAATAACTTTATCTGTTTGAAGAGTTTTATCCATCATAGCACAGGCTGAAACTAGAAATGTTGCAATTCTTCAAATAACTCACATTTTAGATCAACATTTATTTTTTTTCCTAATGTATTTATTTTATTTGAATGAATAGGATTATGTCTGTACAGTAATAAATATTCTGATATTTCTGTTTTTAGATGTTTTAATTGTACTGATCACCATTGCCATAAAGAAGGACTTGACTTTATTTGTAGATTTTTAATGGTACAGAGAGGAGGGATACGTTTTCTAACTTCAGGCCATTATAAATATGTTTAGAACTGTATAAAACATTTGTTGTTTCTGCTCTGAAAGAGAAACTGGATCTGACTGAAATCTGGATACGCACATCAGTGCTTGACTGATTGGAAATTAGCCACCAATTCTCTGATTGGTGAATCTTACATAAGAGCAACACAATTATAACTAAAGGGAACTGCGGAACCAGGCAGGAAGACTCCAAATTTTTCCTGGATGTTTTTCCACAAATGATCTGGGAATATTAGAATAAGTAATAAGACATTCATAATTGGCGGATAACGGTGTGAAAATAGACCTTCGTTTTCTCATGCTAGTACCTGGAGAATGGAATTTCCTCTGATTGAAACCCTTTTGTCTGCAGTGGAAACACTGATCTCAAGCTTAACAGCTCTAGCTTAATTAGAGCAACACTTTATTTTTATTTTTTTTATTCCTTGGCTTGTTTATGATTAAAAACAACACATGGAGATAACGCACCTGGACAAGGATTCTGGGTCTTTGAGGGGAAGGAAACGACACGTTGTGCATGAAGTGCGAGATGTGCCTTTGGAGAGAAACAAGCAGAAATTGTTTTTAAAAAAGCTTTGCTATGAGGTGAGTTATAATGCCTTTACCAACACTGAAAGGATCCCTACTTTTCAATGGGCAGTGGGTTCGGGCCTGAGACAGAGAGCTTGTAGATGAACATCAGAAACTTGCGGAACGACTCAAAGAAGGGCCACCGGGAGAGCACACAGATGCATTTGTTGGTGTTCACAGAGCGGTCAGGGATCGTCTTCTTCTCTACAGGGGTGAGCAGACCCAGTTGGATCTTCTGCTTCTCGCTCAGAAGATCAGCAGAGTATGGTTCGTAGAACTGGATGGCAGAACCGTATACCTGGCAGGGCAGATGGACAAATCAACTTTACTTCTATAGCGCATTTAAAAACCGCATTGGTAACCAAAGTGCTGTGCATAAAATAAGTTTAAAAAATGAATAAAATAGACATAATAAATTATCAACATAAGTGGTGATTTTATTGTGCTTCTTCGCAGCTTTATTGCTGCATGTTCCTCTGCTTCACCTTTTCCCCAGATGAGATTGTCAGAATAAACGTGGAGAAGACCGGCAGAGGGTCACGGGTGTTTGGTGCCCAGCATTCGATCTTGGCGCCCATGGGCAAACAGAAGAGAGGAACAGACTCTGACAGAGGAAAAGACTCATAATCCTCTTCAGGGTAACGAAAGATTAAACCTGCAGAAGAAAAGAAAGAAGAAAGTAAGAGCTTATAATGTGATGATGAAATAACATCATAACCAGCGAAGCAGGTCTGACGGGGTTCATCCTTTCCTTACCTGATCTAATACAATGTCAGGAAAAGAAATTACCATTTCTAAAGCTCAAAATGTCTGCATCATGTGTCAACAGATCAATTACACTGGTTTTAACTTATGGAAGTGACTAAGTTCAAGGTCAGTCCTGGATGAGATGCCTTAATGACACAAACCTTCCTGTGCCAACATGCTTACACACACAGAGACCTGCAGGCACTCGGATTATGGGCGTGTAAGGAAGTGCAGTTGTCTGAGAAGAACAAACAGCTCCTTCACAGGAAGACAGCCGGCCGAAAAAGATAAAGCCGGGCTGCATGGGTGTGTTTGTGTGTCAACAATCTTCATACGTGTGTGGCACAATATATCATTTCATAGGTCAAGCTGTTCCGGAAGTAGTAAGTCAGTGAAAATGTCACATGACGCTAAGAAAATAAGAAAAATGTCCGATTGTGAGAATGGAGAAAAACAGTGAAAGTTTGTCTGCTTTAACAAAGTGGCCGTGTTTCACACTAAAGCCCGTATTTCATACATTGCATGATAAAAATCTGCACTTTTAAAACAACACTGCATGACTTCACCTGCAGTATTACACAATTAAAAATTAGGTATAAACTTAATTTGAAATACATTAATATATAACTTTTCGCATCATTATAAGGGACTTGGTGTGTAGCGATGTTCCTTGAAGGTTGTCCTTTTTAAAAAATGTTGCCATGTAACTTGAGAAGGTTGATTCAACACAAAAATGAGTCATGTGACCCAGTGCTGCTTTACAACAGTCTGAGATCCCCTTCAAAACCAGACTTAGACTTAGACTACTTTATTAATTGCACCGCTCGTTTGAGCAGTACACGAGACAAACAAACAAAAACATGTAATAACATAAAAAATAAGATGACTGAAAAGAGAAAAAAAAGAGACAGGGACCTTAAGGACCAACAACGTTAATTGCAACAAAAAAGCTGACATCTGATCAGATTCACTTATAGTTCTATGGTATAAGATTTAATCTAGAGGTGAAAGTGCTCTTTGATTTACTATTAACTCCATGACTTCTCAGTCTGTTGGTCCAAAGTGAGTTCTATCAGAGTCTTTAACACTGAGGAAGATTTATCATTTTGAAACTGATCAATGTTACCAGTTGTTTTCAGGGGAGCTAAACCTGAAAGTTATAGGTTTAGCAACCCTAGTGGCTAAAAGTTACAGTTTTTCTTTTAAAATTTGTTTTGTTTCTTTGTTAATTCAGAACTCATGAGCCATATAACTAGTTGTCTTTTTTTTTTTTTTAAACAGTTATATAAAAGGCAGTAGTCAGCAATTGATTCATTTACATTTTGGAAAAGCTCTGACTCTTCCACTGTTTTTCCCCTGAACCGTGTTTCTCTATGTTCTCTATGAATAATCTTGCATCAAATTCATATATGGTTTATGATCACTCACCCCAAAACATTCTGGGTTTTCTCTTCTGCTGAGATAGTCAAGGAAAGAGGTTAATTTACCAAAGGATGAATCCCTTCTTTGAGTTTAGAGATGTCTTTGATCAGTGGTTTTTAAACTGGGTCCTCCTGCATGTTTTAAGTGTTTTCCTGCCCTGCAGCTCATGGTGGCTGCTCAGGTTGATATGCAATCTCTTGATGTAGGTGTGCTAGAATAGAGATGCGTCTAAAACATGCAGGACAGAGTTCTGAGGACAGAGTTGGAAAACCACTGTTTTAGATCAATATTCTACTGGAAGAATCAATAATGACCCATTCAGAAGGTTGATGAGAAATGTCAAAAAAAAAAAAAAAAGGTTTCAAATTGTTCTGATATTTCTATGAGGTTATGAACTGACAAGTTTCCTAGAGCCTCTGACAAAGTACCAGTGCATCCCTGGTCCTCCACCACGCTGGATAGTGTGCATGAGGGGCTTTGTCCATTCTCCATACAAAATAATGACTGATGCGATATAGAGTAGTGACCTACTTTAGGGGGAGTGGCGGCCTAGTGGTTAGAGCATGGCGCTTGGGTCTCAGAGGTTCTGAGTTCAAGTCCCACACACTCCCACAAACTGCCACTCTGGCTCCCTGAGCAAGACCCTTAACCCCAGACTGCTCCCTGGGCACCATGGGTTAGATGCAGAGAGTTAATTTAGTTGCACTGTACTTGTGACAGTTTAGTGTCAATAAAAAAAAAAAGAAAAAATAAATAGACCAATATGATTGATCTCAATTTAAAGCAATTAAGGGGTTCAGCCCTTTTACAGTTTTCTTAGTTAGGATTAGTATTCATTTCCTGATGTTTGTCTAATTTTGACTGAGTAGTTTGCTTGTATTTTTCCCCATACTGCAGGATGGCCAGGAGATAGATATATATATATATATATATATATATATATATATATATATATATATATATATATATATATATATATATATATATATATATACACTATATTGCCAAAAGTATTTGCTCACCCATCCAAATTATTGGAATCAGGTGTTCCAATCACTTCCATGGCCACAGGTGTATAAATTCAAGCACCTAGGCATGCAGACTGTTTTTACAAACATTTGTGAAAGAATGGGTCGCTCTCAGGAGCTCAGTGAATTCCAGCGTGGAACTGTGATAGGATGCCACCTGTGCAACAAATCCAGTCGTGAAATTTCCTCGCTCCTAAATATTCCACAGTCAACTGTCAGCTGTATTATAAGAAAATGGAAGTGTTTGGGAACGACAGCAACTCAGCCACGAAGAGGTAGGCCACGTAAACTGACGGAGCGGGGTCAGCGGATGCTGAAGCGCATAGTGCGAAGAGGTCGCCAACTTTCTGCAGAGTCAATCACTACAGACCTCCAAACTTCATGTGGCCTTCAGATTAGCTCAAGAACAGTGCGCAGAGAGCTTCATGGAATGGGTTTCCATGGTCGAGCAGCTGCATCCAAGCCATACATCACCAAGTGCAATGCAAAGCGTCGGATGCGGTGGTGTAAAGCACGCCGCCACTGGACTCTAGAGCAGTGGAGACGCGTTCTCTGGAGTGACGAATCGCGCTTCTCCATCTGGCAATCTGATGGACGGGTCTGGGTTTGGCGGTTGCCAGGAGAACGGTACTTGTCTGACTGCATTGTGCCAAGTGTAAAGTTTGGTGGAGGGGGGATTATGGTGTGAGGTTGTTTTTCAGGAGCTGGGCTTGGCCCCTTAGTTCCAGTGAAAGGAACTCTGAATGCTTCAGCATACCAAGACATTTTGGACAATTCCATGCTCCCAACTTTGTGGGAACAGTTTGGAGCTGGCCCCTTCCTCTTCCAACATGACTGTGCACCAGTGCACAAAGCAAGGTCCATAAAGACATGGATGACAGAGTCTGGTGTGGATGAACTTGACTGGCCTGCACAGAGTCCTGACCTCAACCCGATAGAACACCTTTGGGATGAATTAGAGCGGAGACTGAGAGCCAGGCCTTCTCGTCCAACATCAGTGTGCGACCTCACAAATGCGCTTCTGGAAGAATGGTCAAAAATTCCCATAAACACACTCCTAAACCTTGTGGACAGCCTTCCCAGAAGAGTTGAAGCTGTTCTAGCTGCAAAGGGTGGACCGACGTCATATTGAACCCTATGGATTAGGAACGGGATGTCACTTAAGCTCATATGTGAGTCAAGGCAGGTGAGCAAATACTTTTGGCAATATAGTGTATATATATGTGTTGCTTTTAAAGATATAAGTTATAAATGAAAATTATCCATTTTCAAATTACCTAATTTTCAAGATTTTAATGAGTGATAATTTAAGATATTTTATTAGAAATTGTACATTTAAGCACAAGGCAAATCCATTGTTTGTTTTTTTACAATTCATCGAAAAAGTCAGCTTGGAAAATGACGTTTTGGCTTGCTGTGTTCTTTTTATCCCAGTTAACATAGATTATGTGCATAGATATACGTACAGATATATATACAGAAGAGCTATATGTGTATATATTTGATCTCTTTTTATTCTCATTTTTTTATCTTTATTATATTGTATAGTTGGATGTGTGTATATATCATGTAAAACTGTAACTGGAGCGTGTAACAAAAGTAATTTCCATCTGGGATTATTAAAGTATTTCTGATTCTGATTAGCTCTATTAGTTAATGTAAAACAATTAAAATCAATAAATTTTCTAACACAGATTTCTAAAAACCAATTTTTTGGTCTTTGATTCATTTATTTGGTGTCCAATGCATTACAAATCAAATAGGAATTGGTTGTACGTCTAAATGTACCTCTAAACGTGTAAAGTCAGAATTGTTAATTGCATTAAAGTAGTAACTGTAAAACTAAATATTTGACTCATCAATTACTGATGACTTAAAAAAAAGACAAAAAAGTGTAAAAAATTGAGTTTTTTATACAAGTTTTTATTGTTGCAGTTAAAGCCTATAAGTAAACTACTCTAGTGTGATGATACAATCCTATAGATTAGATCAACAGTTCTTGAAAAGTATGATAATCAATAATAATAGAAACAACTGATAGATATAAGGTAGGCTATCAACTACTGCTAACATACAACATAAAACCTAAAGAGGTTCTTACCTGCTTTGTAGCTTATAGAATTGGACGCAGATACTGATTTCTTGTAGCACAGGAACACGCTGGAGCCCCACTGAAAGATTTTCAAATACAAATTAACTACAGATTCCTCTCCGAGTCAATCAGAAAAGGTCAGCTGAGGTCAACATTTGTGACCTACCATGCCACCGTTAAGGTTCCTGTCCACTTTGCAGAAGGTATGCGGTGGCGTTTCCCCCTTACTGGAGATAATCACGCAGATGTCCGTCACTGCCAGGGAATTCTGAGGCTGTACCGGAGGGGCTCGGCGGAAGGTGATGAAGATACGCTGTGAGTTGGCGTAGCTGTTGTTGACGTTAGCACAGCGGCCATAAGGTGTGGCCTGAATAACCTCGCAGCCCTGGATCAGACGGTCCTTACCCTCATAGAGAACTCTGAAAAAAACAAAAAATGTAAAAACATCTGAATAATGCTGGGAATTACATTTTCATTTTACATTTGACAAAATAAGATACATAACAGAAGAAAGCTGAAAAAAAACCTTAGATTTAAGAATTTTGAGATAAATCATTAAGACAAGAGGATCTCAGAATGCAGCATATCTAGTCAGATGTCTTACTGTTTCACATTAGAAAAGCTTCAAAGCTGAAATTTGGATCGCATGTAGTGACTAAAATGTTTGCAGAACAGCAGGACAGGTGCCAGTCATGCACCAGCTAGCTTCTAAAAGAAGCATAAAAAAAGGCTCAGAAACTTCCTTTTGGTGCAAACACACACACTAACACCTTTATTACCATCTACGGGCCTCCACGGCTGGCCATTCTTTTCACAATGGTCAATCCTTCACATTCAGCTTCACAGCCTGAGCTAGAGAGATTAAGAACCTCCTTTGAACCAGGAGGTTGCTTTTTCCCCCCTCTCCTAAAATTCATTCATAATCCATCAATGCTTTTACCTATTCCAAATCTTTAGGGTGTATTCGAGGAAATACCAACAGTTCCAGAGCAGAGAGTGAACAGATTTGTTGTGCATTACTATTTGAGATTAATCATGAATTAAATACCCTAAATAAAACAGAACCTGATGGAAAAAAAGCCAATTTTTTTAAAACTTTTGAAAACGTATATCTTCAACTGCAATGAACTGGCGACCTGTCCAGGGTGTACCCCGCCTCTCGCCCATTGACTGCTGGAGATAGGCACCAGCATCCCACACAACCCCAATTGGGACAAGCGTGTCAGATAATGGATGGATGTATGGATGGTATATCTTCAAACAGACAGGTCTGCACAGCTCAAGTTAAAGCCAGTGACCTTCATCCTGTGAGGATATACAGAAATCTTTATATGTATATTAGAAAGAGTCATAAAAACAGACCCTTGATTGCAGAGTTGATGCTCATCGAATAACAATCAATGTTATTACTTTGGATTTTGCATTATGAACACAGCACCATCAGTGCTTAGTTTACTGGAAAATGCAGATCCTTACATCAACTTTACTACTTCCAAAAGGCTGTGAATGTTCTGGAAGCCATTAAAAAAAGTTGAAGCTCAATTTTAAAATGTATGAGATGTGTCATTTAGGAGCAGCAGCTTTACATTTTAATCTAAAGTGAATACAACACTTCAATATTCAGCATATGTGGCTAGGTTTAAATGTTTTCCCCTATAATATTGGCTGTTAGTTTTTTAACCAGCATGCAGAATCACAGAGAACCAGAGAGGTTTGGTATTTTATTTACAAAAAGCGACAAGAATCTGAAAGTGGAGAACTGCAGGAAGTCAGTTTAACTTTTTGGTTGGTCTGAGGGGAGAAAACAGGCTGATCAGGAAGGAGTTGGTTGATGACAACTGATGACTGATTGATTTGCTTACTTCAGGGATGAAGGGGAGGTAGCAAGAATCTGTTGGGGTTTGATTCAGCAGGCTTTGCAGACAGAACCCCAGGGGTCCAGGAGAATGTGAGTAAGATCTGAGATTGTTCGTCTTTGCAAGAGACATGTGGGCAGGCAGGTGATGAAGACTGAGCAATGCTGCACACAGGTTAGACCTTTTTCATGAAGATTGGAGACAGACTGAGGTTCACGGATTGTCGTCAGGGGTAATCAAACAGCGAAGAGAGACAATCCTTCACCTTCTTATATATATGTGCTAGTCATCTTGAATGAGAAATGTTTTCAGGTGTGCTGCAACACCGGTCGGCACAGCTACCAGCAAAGATCCTCTCTGTGACAGGAAGCTCACTCACACCAGAAAAACAGCAAAAGCTCAGAGATCCTAACATTTCCATGGAAATACTGAACTTCTGTTAAAGCTCAGGCTCTAAGGAGTCAAAAGATGGCTGATATAAACTCCCATTCCAGTTTTTTTTTTTTTTTTTTGGGAGAGATTTCTACCCGGTCGCTCTTTTAAAGGGCCCTTGTTTTTCAAAAGCCTTTCCCTCCACAAAACTACCCTGGTTATGAAAACAAACTGTTCTTGAATCAGCAACAACTTAAATGCTCAGGAGTTTTCCAGTTTCTTCTGGTCAACGGCACTGACTTAAATTTTCAAGCTCGTTTCCTTTTCTGTATTGCAGTAAATTTCCTTCTCCTTGCTCAGCGACTCAAGCAAATTTCCACTGACTCATTCAAGCAAGACAAGAGATCCTCACATCCAACTCACAACAGGATGAAAAAATGTAAAATCTTTGTAAATACTGTGTCTCCTTGCTTTAATCCTTCTTGCATGCAGCCATGAAAGCAAACCATGTGTTAGATTTTTTCATGACTCAAGGGCATCTATATAGCTGCATGCTTCTTGTCCTCTTCTTCCGTCTGGACAACACCATGAGGGAGGCCAACAGATCTTACAGCAGCCTTCTACACTAAGGCTTAAACACACTTCCTTTTGTACTCGTAAGCCGGCATGAAAGCCAGCCTCGGCTGATATAAAAGTACTGAAACACTGCATTCATTCTGAAAAGACTGGAGGACAAACCTAGAGAGGCCAGGAAGGAACAGTTGCCAACAAATTCTCATTTAGGCAACAAAAATGTCCTACTAATAGGCAAGGCAGAACAAGATGCTCCAGAGCCCTGGGGTTGGGAATGCTTGCCTGAAACAAGAGGCAACAGAAGGAGGAATAAATGATTTAGTCTAAAAAACTTTAAATTTACTTTTAGCAAGGGCGGATAAGACTTAAAACTAAAAACCGATGAATAAATGGAATCTAAAACACTACTGATAAATTTAAGTTTAAATAAGGCAAATCTGCTTGATAGCAAATAAAAGGTTATTAATGAGGCTGTTGTTTGCAGAGATAAAAAAAGAATTAGAAAGCTGCAGTTGTGTGCATTTCCTCCTTTGGTTTAGACAACTGTGCAGTTTCAGTAAATAATGTCGACTGGCTCCTACAGGGTCACTCCTATTACCCCAAAAACAATTAAAATAGCCAAAATGGATCCCCTTTATTGAACCACCATAGTATTTAAATCCAGCTATGCAAACTGAATAGTTACCTATGCAGAGTAGGGCTGGATGATGTGACCAAAACTTATATCATGACACATCCTCATTTCGTTCAATCCAAAATAAAGGCGCAGCTGTCACATACTTTGAAGGCATCTAACCATGTAGGGTCTGTTTCTACTGACGCCAGATAAAGGAAGTTGTAAGCATCGTTTTTTCACAACGGAATAAATAAAACGACATTTTCATCGGCCCTTTACCAAGGCATTTTTCAGAGGTTAATTTCCACCATGGTAATAAGAAGTCTTACCACACCCAACTTTGTCTAACAAGAAATTGCTCATTTAAGATAATGAATCATAAAAGGGTTAATATTCTTCCCCACTTGTTTATTCACAAAAATGCAACACAAAAAAATTAATAATAATAATGGTACAATGAAATGTTTTATTTCAATATACTTACTAATAAACCATTGGTATTCTAATGAAACTAATTTGTCTGGTTACTGTATAATCAGTGCATGTAGCTCCCATATTCATATGTATACTTATACACAACTTTTTACAGTCCCTAACTATGACTTTTTGCTTGTACATACACCTGTAATAATATTTATATCCTGTATAGCACTTCTGGATAGATGCAAACCATATTTCGTTGCTTTGTACTTGTGACAAAAAAAGTTGAATTCTATTCTATTGGAGATCATTGTGGATCCAAAATAGAAAAGGATTCTCTAACGTTTGTCTTACCTATATAGTCATCACTTCCAAGTGGCTAGTGTCAATGTTGTTGGTTAAAAAAATAAAATAAAATAAAATAAAATTGATTTCAGTTTGAATAATGGATGCTCTGAAGACTCCTTTCGAGAGAAGCCACTGAGTGACCGTGGTCCTATTCACATGAGACAAGTACGCACGTTTTTATACCTCAGTATTTTCTGACTTTGTGCAAACTGCGTATGCACAGCTTCGTTCAAGATATATGAGATAAGCTTTGAACATGCACATGAAATATTTTAAGAACAGACGGAAAATGACAAAACTAAGTTTTAGACAAATTTCATTTTTTATACACAGAACAAAACAAAACAAAACAAAACAAAAATTATGGTTGTAATATGTCTGTTACAAAGAGGTCAAAAGGTGCTTTCATTCTCATGGCTTTACTCCTCTTTGCAAGAAACAGAAAATGTTAATAAGAAACAATGTTTTGGAGAGGGAACGCAGCAAATTTGGCGTTTGTGAAGCACTTCCCCTCTCTCTCACTGGTGTACTGTCCTCTGTATTTTTCAGGAATACTGCACCAGCATCCACATTAAGTATAAACGCCAGCAGCACTTGATCAGGCTCCTGTTCTGTTCAAAGAGACCTGCACAATACCCCAAAGCGCAACAGCAACTCAGCCTTTAAGGTTCAAGAACATACTTTTCGACCAGGGTATGTATTTATCATAAGAACCTAAGGGAAGGTGTATAAGTATATGATCAATCTCTCCTACAGCAGCCTTTGCTGGACACCAGACAACAATAAAGCTTCTACCGGGATGATTTGTCAAAAACAGTCTATAAGAACTTCCAAAAGAGAGCTGCAAACACAAAAATGCTATCTTATCTTGAAGCTCTGAGAAAGACAACACATTTTTGTTCTTCAGCTGATTTTGACTTTTATTAAGGCAGAGGAGTAACAGACAGAGGCCTTTCTGTCCCGTCCCATCACATTTTCAAGGGGACAGGTAAAATCGCCTTAATCTTAAAAGTTATAGGGGAGGATGTCTTTCTTCCGGAAGGACCATCAAAATAAGTGGTTCTCCTAACTGTCAACCATTCTGTTGATACTTTCAGGTGTATGTATGGTGAGCTATGGTTTTAGCCAGTCATTGAAGCTCGCCTTTCTTACCGTGTTTCATTGGAAATAGAAAAAGTGTCTATGAAGTGTATGAGAAGAAGACAAAGACCTCAAAAGAGAGAAACAAGACCAGAGTGCTTTTTGGGAGATTTTGGTGGGGCTTCCCACTGATGCCTCGGTTGCAAAGTGTTTACTCGGCAGGTAAAGTTTGCCATGCTATTTGGAGGAATCCCATTTACATCACTACTAGTTAAACATTGAGAAATGAGCTTGTGCATGCTCTCGCATACATTTAATTGGCGTTCCCTCTCGGGAGCAAGTATAGGGTGTGCATGTGCATTTTCTTTTTTTTTTCTTTTTTTAAGTAGAGAGGAAGGTTCTTTTCAGAAATTTGGGGAAATCCTCCACTATACCTTTAAAATGTTTTGTGAAGGAAGCGCATTTTATCCAGGTAGAAAGTAGGAAAAGCAATGGATGCTGAATAAGCCCCAGAAGGCTAGTCAAACTCAGAGTAAAGGTTCCTACTGTAAAAAGGTACAGATGAATCCTCTCTACAAAAGAAAATATAATACAGTGCTTCTAATCTCTACGTTCTGTGCAACCTTACAAGGTGACTATTGCTGCACAATTAATGAAAGGAAACAATGCATTAAACAATTGGCTCGCAGTTAGGGGGGATCTAAAGTAGAATACATGTTTGAGTTTAACTGACTGTACTTTTTAACCTTAGATGTTGATAAGAAGTGCCTAGGTTCTCAGCCGTTATGCCATTTCAGACTTCGCTTAACTGGAAATCCCAGTTTTTGTTAGTGGGACAAACAAGCAGGCTTTAGTATAACTCTTGAGTATGGAGACCTAGAATGCCTCAAGTGGTTTTTTATAATTTTAAGTGAAGCCAAATGGCATGTGACATTCATTCAAAACACATGGATGCTAAAATTCCTACACAGTACTTATGTTGAAGGTAGATCACATTTTCCCTACTTTATATAAGGAAAATCTATATGTATTCAGGTTAATATGAAAAACAAAGCTTCCTTTTAAAGCATGATAGTTGGATAGATAACATGATATAGTAAAGACTTTAGATAAACTAGAAGAAATATCAGTTTACTCGCAACACTTCCACCTCTAGCTGAAAAAACTTAAATCTTTTTCCAAAAACTAAACTCATCTTCCTTACAGCTATATAAGTAAAAACTTATTTTTATTTTTTGAACACAGAACATAAGAAAACCATTTGATTCTGATTAAAACTAAGTTCTAAAATCTATTTCCATTGCATGAAGCACAGACTATAACTTGGATCATCTTTTCAAGACAAAAACCTCACACTGAGTGTTTATTGGCAGATAATTTACAAATCCTCCATTCCTTAAATGCAATTATTCCAAAGAAGTGTTCACATCTGATTCGTAACAAGTCGTTTAAGAACCGGGAACCTCTATTTTGGGTGGATTGGAGGGGATAGCTTCACAAAACAGATGTAAAATGTCTGTTTTTTGTTGTTGCGTCTCTAGTAGTTTTACATATCAACATATCCACTGCTCCCCCCACCCCTCTTATTCTTTGGGGTTTAGCTTAAGCCCAGTCAGGTGAATCAGAAGAATCTGTGCGGGTCAACTTTTATGTCAGCAAATTATCAGTTGGACTGAGACTTGAACTTTGAGTAGGACGTTTAGAAATCAAACAGTTGCTTCGGGGCAATCCTGGTAATGTGATTCTTAATTTAAAAATAGACTAGACCATTCATATTTCTTCTTTATAATCCTTATATATTTAATGGAAATGTGTGGTTTATAATCTGAGAGTGTGGAATAGATAGCAAGTAGAACTTTCTAGAACAAATTTCCGACTCACCCAATGTCAATGAGCGGAGGTTTCCCTCGACCCCTTTTGTAGCACAGGAAGAGCTCTGGACTCTTAAGGCTGCCATGGTTGAGGTTGGCCGGCTGGCCGCTGTAGGTGGTCTCAATACAGGTAAAGCCCTCAGGGACCGTTTCACCCGCTGACCTGTTAATAACAGCCAGGTCTGTGATAGGCGCTTTGGGCCCGCTGGATTTGGTTTCTGACAGGTCCTGCTCCAGGGGGGCGGACTTGTCGGTCAGGCCCGCCACCACAAAGTAGTCGGTCACACGATGACCCTTGTCCTCGATCATGGCTGGGTGTACCTGAGATCGGAGAATGAGAAAATAGGAAATTAACATGGAGGGGCATCTAGATAAGCAATGCTTTGTCTTTTTAATGAGATAAAACCTTATCTAAAACCACCTCAGAAAATATTTTAATACGGTATATATTATACATCCTAATGCCAGTAAAGCTGCTTGCTGAGCACACCGCTACATATCCATCTACAAAGCAGTTATCCCTATACTACTGAATGCCATGATATGTATAATCAAGCACACACACATTACACAATATGGTGCTCAGACTTCACATGGACACAAACGGAATGATAAATCCTGTAGCTAGGCAAATAAAAGGATCCTTTAAAACCCTTAGTCACAAATTAACTAAACAAACTGCGTCAACAAATCAGTGAAGAAGGAAAGGATGTCTACAAACTCTATTCATTGTATATCACAGGACTGCAGCAAAACAACTAGAGTTAAAGCTCTGGTGGCAGCAGAGTCAAGGAAGAGTCATCGAATCAGGAGGAATGCAGAGAAACTTTACCAAGACTTTAAATCAGACACTCTAAAGACTGTAAAGCAGCTGAAATTTACTTCTAACTGGGGCTCCAGAGTAGCTACAACTAGAGCTGAAACAATCACATTAATCATGATCAGTGTTGTGCTTGGATGCATTGAATGAACAGCATTCTCTGAAAATGTTCATATTTTTAGTGAACTGTGAACTGAACGGATCAGTTTTGAAGTAATGAACGTGAACAAGAGCGACGTTCATTTTGAGAATAATTAGCGACACACAGATCAGGTTCGCATTTAATTGATAACAACACTTTTAATTGGATAATGTTAGGTTTTACGGCACTTATTACAGTAAACACCATGATGGACCAGCATGTTTACTGCTAATATTAGTCTGCACGATTCAGACTCGTCTACTGTTATTTCTGATACCAGATTTAAAAGGACTTCGCAGAATTTTATTAACTAACAAAGGAAGACTCAGTCAGGAAAAAAAACTCACCTATTTGCGCAAACTACGCCCCCCAAGTTTGTATATCAGCCAAGTCCACTTCAAATTTAAAGCGACACACTGAGTTAAAGCATCGGGGCTATCTAGGGAAATATCTACCACTGAGTGTGGAGGGTAAGAAATCATTTTGGATACAGATCTTTTCAGCAGAACCTGAATGTACCTGTATGTTTCTGAAGTTCTGTGTAATTTGGCTAAATAAAGGCTTCACAGTACATACAGTGCACCCTGACTGCATTGAGCATTTTGACCATTTCTTTTATATCATGTTAACGCACTTAGATGGTGAAATACGAGGTTATGTTGATTTACCAAATGAAGCTGAACTACCGTAGTTAATTTATAGGTTTAAGAACTTAGTTCATTTTTTAAAAAGTGAACTATGAACATGAGCAAGCTCATTTTCATCTGAGTGAACTTCAGTTTGAGCTTGTTCTTCTAAATATCAACTCGTACAACATTGATCGTGATTAATCGATTATTGAAACAATTGTCAACGGATTTAGTTATCGGTTAATCGTTAACTGGATTATATACTCTAAAACGTGCCTTTAGCTGACAGAGTGACTGATTTAGATTAGTTATTATAAGAAAACTGTAAAAATACATATCAATATTTTGTATTTTCGATAGAGAAAAAAAACGTTTTCATCTGTCAGTATGTTCTAACCAGAATTTCACAAATGGAAAACTTTTTTTTTAACCTGGTTTAATTCTGTAAAACATCTTTAAGGAACATTTTAAATCTGATCATTAATTAAGATTAATCGATTTACAAAATAATCATTACTTGCGTTTCTAGCTACAACATGCCTATAGTTTTAATGCAGAATTGTTTTTATTTGATCTATAAGAGGTTCCTTGTTCTTAGGTAAAACTCATGAGAAATGAGACAAAGCTTCCCACAGAAGTCATGACTCAGTGATCACTTCTACCCTTTGAGCCACAAAAGCAGTATATTCAAAGGCCTTAGTCAAATTTCTGTTTGGTTATATCCAGCCCACTGAGAAATATGATGTGTATACATCCACAGTTTATACCAAGTCTGAAGGATAGTAATTAGCACTTTACAGGTTTAAACCAGAAATCTGAAATTTTATTTATTCATTGTTTTATGTATTTATTCTGATTGCCAATGTTGCAGTGACATACATATATATATATACACACACATATATATATATGTGTATATATATACACATGTGTATATATATACACGTATATATATATATACACATATATATATATACATACACATATATATATATATATACACATATATATATATATATATACACATATATATATATATATATATATATACACATATATATATATATATATATATATATATATACACATATATATATATATATATACACACATATATATATATACACATATATATATATATATACACACATATATATATATATATACACACATATATATATATACACACACATATATATATATACACACACATATATATATATACACACA